TAGGCGGCCGGATCCGCGGCGGCGGGCTGCGTCGCTGCCGCCAGACCTTGGAAGTCGAACTTGTACGCGTACCTCTTCCCGTGGACCTTCGTCATGATGTTCTTGTCGTAGTAATACCTGAAAAAACGAAGATATTGTTGTGAGACGCAACGTGGTGAAAAATTGTCGAGAGAGGGCGCTTTTAGACTATGCATTATGCACTATTACCTACTGTTCACTATTGGGAAAAATGTACTAGAATGGTCCACTTCAAATGGTTTGTTTGACATGGTGATATATCCAAAATCGTGAAAATTATTTTCATTTATGAAGTCAACTGATAATCGTCCAAGAGTGGAAATTATTTTCGAAACTATCTATAGAATGTTTAACTTTGTATATATATATATATAATTATTAGTTTAATTTATAAACTATATCGTAAATTGTAATTAACTTACGAGAAATAAACAGATTTTTATATTACATCGATACGTTAGAATTCTCTGGAGTCTATGCCTACGTTAATGCATCGAGATTTAGATACGTCGTATTGAATTAGTATATGTGACAAATACCACGTGACAAACACTTTCCAAATTAACCAATCAGACGCGGGTCTTTTCCGCGAGACTTTTTTCAGCAGTGAACAGTAGGTATGCAAGCCGGGTTGCTGGACGACAGGCGTGTAAGTAGATATGCAAGCCGGGTTGCGCAACGATAGGCGTATAAATAGGTATGCAAACCGGGTTGCTCGACGACAGGCATCTAAGTACGTATCTTCGATCTAATTAATTAAATTAGAGAAAGAACGTTTTAAGTTTTATTACAATTTCTCGTCATCTTCTAGATATTATCTACGAAAGAATTGTTACAAAATATATGTGAAAACGGGACTTTTAACAAAAAAATTGAAGCTATACAACCTTCATCATTTTTTCTTAGGTTATGGTTTTGCTAGAGATATGATCGAGCAAATGGATACCGCGTTCCGTCGTAAACCGAGAATGTTTACGAACGCGATGGAAGTCGTAAAAATCTCCTGGCGCGTAAGCCAGAGGATTCTTATTTAATAAATTTTATTCGCCAACACCGATAACGACTCGGTTTCCGCGGCGATGCGGAAACGTCTTTCCCTTTTTTCCCTTCCTTTTTGTTTTCTTTCCTATTTTCTTTTCCATCGAGTTATTGTCGCGCACCGCAGCCTGAAACTTGTTCAACGCACGAAGGGATGCCGGCTACTGATAGAGAACAGGATAGAAACAGAAGAAACAAGAGAAACAGAGAGGAAGAGAGAAAGAGAGAGAGAGAGAGAGAGTGGAGCAGTCTCGCGTAATATAATCAGTCGATCTGATCGAAAAATAATAGCCGCGTCTGCCGTCGGTCTGACTGTCGGTGATTGAAATTTCTCTCCCCCTTCTGGCTTCCCCGCGCAATCGCTGCGCGCCACCGTCCTTTCGTTCAACGAATTTACTTTCTCTCCGGATACTTCCACGTCTACCCGTTAAATATTGACGTTTCTCGCCTGCGTTTTTTTCGCTTTCTCTCTCTCTCTCTCTCTCTTTCTTTCTTTCCTTTTTCAGTGGGAGAGAATTTTAACGTACGAATCGCGCGGTTTAATCGCGCGCGCTCGATTAATTAAGGCTCTCGATAAATTTGAAAACGATAAGTAGAGGTGAAAAATAATTTAAATAATTCGAAAAGTATCCCTTCCTCTCCGTTTCTCGTAATTGCAAATTTTGGATTGCGGAAGTGAGTGGACCCATTGGAAGAATTGTAATACGTATCAAGTTTAATCGCGCGCTCTACATAAATTACAAAATAATATAAAGGAAATCGAGGTGGAAAATAATTTAAATAATTCGAAAAGTATCGTAGTTGCAAATTTTGGATCATAGAAATAAATGATTCTATTGAAAGAATTTTAATACGTACAAATCGAGGTTTAATCGCTCGATAAATTATAAAACGATACAATGATGAAGAAAATGATGAAGTAAAAAATAATTTTAATAATTCGAAAAATATTGCAATTGCAAATTTTCGACTATAGAAGTAAATGATTCCAGAATTAAAATTATAATATGTATGAATGAATGACGATTACAAAACGATGATGAAGAAAATGATGAAGTAAAAAATAATTTTAATAATTCGAAAAATATTGCAATTGCAAATTTTCGACTATAGAAGTAAATGATTCCAGAATTAAAATTATAATATGTATGAATGAATGACGATTACAAAACGATGATGAAGAAAATGATGAAGTAAAAAATAATTTTAATAATTCGAAAAGTATCGTAATTGCAAATTTTCGACTATAGAAGTAAATGATTCCAGAAGTAAAATTATAATATGTATGATTGAATGACGATTACAAAACGATACAATGATGAAGGAAATCGAGGTAAAAAATAATTTTAATAATTCGAAAAGTATTGTAATTGCAAATTTTCGATTACAGAAATGAATGGCTCTACTAAAAGAATTATAATAGGAAGAAATGGCGATTACAAAATGATACAATGACGAAGAAAATCGAAGTAAAAAATAATTTTAATAATTCGAAAAATATTGCAATTGCAAATTTTCGACTATAGAAGTAAATGATTCCAGAATTAAAATTATAATACGTATGAATGAATGACGATTACAAAACGATGCAATGATGAAGAAAATGATGAAGTAAAAAATAATTTTAATAATTCGAAAAATATTGCAATTGCAAATTTTCGACTATAGAAGTAAATGATTCCAGAATTAAAATTATAATACGTATGAATGAATGACGATTACAAAACGATGCA